ACCTGAAACTAATGTAATACTGTGTGTCAACTACCCCTTCAATAAAAAATAATTATCTAAAAAAAAAAAAGCCACAATGATAAACCATACTCATGGTTAAAAAGAAGGTACATTGGGGAAGGGTGTAAACTGAAAAGTTACTTGACACCTCTTTGACCCCCATTTTTATTCTCTATAACCACTATTTTCAGTTTCTTGTATATCCTTGTCAGAAATTTCCAATGCATATAATCACATTTGTGTCTACTCCTCCCCTCCTTTTAAAAAGACTAGTGGATCATTTCCCCTGCTGTTTTATATTTCTTGTAAATTACATGTTATATTTTAGTAACTTCATTTTTCTACATTACAATTATGCTTTTGCATATATTTTATATGATGGATTTGGTATGTGTAACTGTAGTTTTTTTGTTTAGAGAAGCAAATACTGAAGACCTAACTGAAAGACCATGTATCTAGCCACAGTATTGTACTTACCTTTGTAGGGGAGAAGAAAGTTCTATTTTTGCATTGATTATAGTACTCTGAATAAATATGGCATAAATCATGTATGTTAATTTGGTGTGTCCAGAAATAAACTTGATTTCTACTTGATTTTTCTCCCTTTTTTAGTATTCCATTCAGTGAGTATGTGATAATTTATATTAAGTTGGTATTTCCCGGTCCCTTTTCCCACCTTAGTTTCATGTCTAGTAAATTGCTGGTGACATTGAGGACAGTTTCTTAGGTTTATGCTCATTAAATAGTGTAACAGATGAGAAAAACCTTTTGGGTATGGCAGGGTACACTGAATATACTGTTTTTTATTAAGACTAATTTAGATGTAAATAATACTGTTTCTGCTCAGGTTAGGGAACCTGCAGATTCTTTGCTATTGATATGTAGTGATTTGTTTCTAGCTTTTTGATTTCATTTTTGCTGATACAGGCAACATTAGGTGAAAATCTTTGAATACATATGTTTTCATACTTATACGAGCTTAATTTAAAAAAATATTTTCAAACTTGATGTATGTTGTAAATTACCTTCTTAGAAGGTTTATATTAGTTTTACATTCCAATCAGTAGGGTATGAGTATTCATTTCTCTACACCCTTGCCAATGCTATGAATTGTCAGACTTTTCTATACTTACCAGTATGATTTGTGTTTTTTTAAATTAGGACAGAAGTTGAACATATTTAAGAGTTGTGTTTTGTTATGAAATGGTTGCTCTCATCCTTTGCCCATTTTTCACAATTGGGTTGTTATATCTTTTTCCTCATTGAGTTATGATTATTTCAAGTTTTTCTTTTCGGTTAGGATTTTATGGTATTTTGGACATAGGGAGATACACATTTTTATGTGTATACTCAGAAATTCTAGTCTTTTCCTTGTTGGATACCTGGTTGAAAATGCATTGTAATAAACACGCCTGGTAGTCCTTTTCTATTTGCAGGGGCAAGAACATTTATGCTATTCTCAAAACTGTCTTACACCTTTTATCAAAAGAGTCATGTGGTACGAGGTAGGAAGGTGCTTGATTGGTATCAACTGACCCCTATCTCTTTATTTTCTTAGGGGTGGTTTCTCAAGAGGGCTGATTTTTGAGGCATGGCGTAAGATTTTTTCTAGTGTCTTTGATATCATTTCTAGGAATCAGTTTCTCTTTTTAAGTGTAAAATCTGTTTGAAATATTTCTACTTTTCTGTTCAGTTCAGCAGCTTCTTTATAATGCATTCTCTTATGTGCATGTGAAATTGCTTTGATGTTGTATTTTAGTCTCTGTATTTTTCACAACTAAAATTAGGAAGCAATCCAGAGTAAAAGAAATATTGTATAACCTAAATTAGCTAATTTTCTTTTCAATTCTGTGAAGAGATTATGGACATTATCTTTTATTCTAAAGAGTTTAGTCTCTTAAAAATAGGAACACTATAGAATCACATAAATTGAGAATAACTGAGCAGGTTCAGTATTTGATTAAACTTCCCAAAGTTTGTTTGCCCTTAAGTTGAATGGTCTTTTTATTTAATACCAGTTATGAAAGACCTCTCTCTAAAACGATTTGTCTTATTGGTAATTCTTTATATGATTTGCTGTTTCTAAGCCTGAATTATGATAAATTCTTTCTTAGGTATTCCCTATATCCTACTTAAAGAGATATAATTCTGTAATTCCATGGCTTATTTTGATTCATAACAATAATGTATTTGTTTTAATGCTTTCAGGTGTGTACATCACGATTCTGGTTTAATTATCGGCATGTTGCAAATACTCTTTCTGTTTATAGAAGTGTCAAGAGGCTAGGTATTCCTGACAGGTAAGCATTCTTAATAAAGCATCACTATGAACCTTAGTGAAAACTACATTAGATGTTTGTTATTATATTTGTATTTTTGTGTTGCTTTTGAAAAAAATAAACTTGAAGTTTTGTGGTTGTTGGTAGAAAGTAACTGTTACTTAAGAACATAATGTCAAAAATTATGTAAAATAACAATATTAAGATAAAAAGATTTGATAAAGTATAATTGTATAGTGTATTTATTCAATTATTAAATGCCTCATTCTGGGTTTTTAATTGTGTACAACAGAGGGCAGTTCTGACTAATTCAAGTAGAAAAGGAATTTATTGAAAGCATGTTGAGTAATTCACCAAATTGCCAGGGAGCCCATAGCCTTAAATAGTCAGGAAAAGGAAGATGAGGTAGCAGAAAATACATCTAATAATCATGGCATAAAACCAGTCTAGTGACGATAGTGCAGCCATGAATTGTTGAAGGCTAGACTTGGTTACTGCACGGCTGCTACCATTGCCTTTGACACCTTAATGTTGACACCAGAATCCAGCCTTTCTGTCCCAGCTTGTTACTGTCTCTAGCTCTTCATTTAGAGATGTTGGTGGGAGTATCACATTGGCAGAATATAGACTAAGTGCCCATGTCTATGCTGCAGGGATGATAGGAAGAACAACTGTATGGCATTGTTAGCGTCCATGTAGGGAAGTGGGGTCTGCCTTCTATGAAGACTCAAAAGTGGGATGCTTTCTAATATCATGTAGCTCAGGTGGTAGGCAGAACCCTCACACTTCCACCTCCAGATGATACATGTCCTCTACATTTGGCTTGTCAGATATGATAGGGCTGTTCTTGCTACCACCAAAGCAGCAAGGGAAGAAACTGCATCCAATTCAGTTATTTAGGCTTGATTTACTGAGTCCTATGTTCCTCTCTATCTGTGAGGGAATATGGGAAGAGCTTTGCAATCAGACAGATCTGAATATGAAATCTGGGGTTAGTGGTGATTTTGGGTAAGTCACGTCACTGTCCCCAGCCTGTTTCCTCTGCTATCACATGGTGACAGGAGTACTGCTTTTGCAGGATGCAGGTACTTGTAAGCGAAAGCAAACAGGTGTGTGTAAAACTGCAGGAGCAGAAAGGAAGTAGTGAAGGACTCAGGAAACAAAGGTATATTATGTTCTATGTAAATAGATCATTTTAGTCTGAGAAGCTGACAAGAACTATAATTTAATTCCTGTATTTCATCTGGAAATTAAGGCAACTTGATAATACCACCATACATAATACATTAAATTAAGTCTGGGAAAGAAGGATTTATTACATCAAGTGTCCAGGTATTCTTGTAATTAGCCAATTATTACAATTTGTCCATTGTCAGTTCTCCTTAAATAGTGTGTGTGGTTAGCCCTTCGATTTCTAGCTACTGCTGCTTCTCTAACATTTGTGCTCCTCCAGGGAGTTACTATGCATGATTTGGCAATAGCTGCCCTTGAATCTTAGTCTGGTCTGTAAGTCATTAGGGTATATTTAGATGGTTTAAATAAGATTCAGAGGGACTTTTTAGAAATATAATAAAACTGTGGATGTATTTTATATAACTAGTGGTTTTTTCCCCTAAGTTTCTGAAGAATATTCTTTAAAAGCTTATTCCCTTTCACATGATTGCCTGTCTGTCTCTCTGTATATGGAATCTTTGCTGGGGAATGAATTGGGGATTTAAACGGCTGATGATTTTGCTGTTTAACAGAGATCAATAAAGATTGATTGTCTTTTCACCTATAATGGTGAATGCTTCTCTTATAGGTGACTTGTCCCACTTTAGTCCTACTTGGGCTTGAGTATAGAAAGACAGTAATAAGTAAAATTTTAGTGAGAAATAACAAATTACTATAAAATAAAGTTTGGAAACCAAGAACAGTTTTTAGTTTTAAAGTGTGAATTTCAAAATATAGTTTGAATTTATTTTATACATTTTGGAACATTTTCAAGTTAAAGCAATATTATCATAACTTCTGTCATATTCCAGATATGTATCCTAAGGGGAAAATAGGTAGATTTGTCACTACATTTAAAAAAAGTTGTGACTATAGCTCTCTCTCTTTTTTAAAACTTTGTTTGCTTTTTTATGGGAGCATTTATCTTTGTCTTAAAATGCAAAGCATTTGCATTTAGTTTTCCTATATGCTTCAATAAGAAATTAGTTCATGTAATAAATCATTTACTAAAATGCATGACACAGATGATTGCCTTTTATTTTAGAAGTTCACATCAATTCCATAGATCCTGTTTGAAATGTCATATTGTGTCACTACTCTTGTGCTGATTTCTCTCTGATCTGCTGTCTGTATTTTATATACTTCAGCTATACTGAGTTATTCTCTTCTGCTTAGAATGGTTGTCTATACTTGTAGCTCACTGCTACCTAAACCTGGCTGTGATTCTGAATCATTTGTGGAGTGTGTTAAAAATACTGGATTTCTTGGCTCCACCCCTGGAGATTATAGTTCACTAAATGTGAATTAAGTAAGGTGTAGACACCAGCTCTATATGTGGTTCTGATGCACAATCAAGTTTAGGAAGCACAGCTTTAATTTTTATTTGACCTTCCAAATTCACTTTAGTGCTTTTTCAAAAAAACATTCCCTGACCCCCTTTTTTGCTTCTGTAGTATCCTATGTGTATTTGATTATAACATGATTATACTAATTCTAGTATGTTTCCCTTATTAGGTTATAAACTCCTTGACAGGAACAAGGATTACATTTTATTTCACTTTGTACTTCCAACATCTAGCACAGTACCTGACACATAGTAGGTGCACAGTAGGTATTGGATAAATAAACACGTGTCTTGGAAATACTTTGTCAGTTAAAAGCAAATGTAAGTTCGTATTTTGAAAGTAAAAACATTTTTATCTCCTAAATTGTGTTAGCCTAGCTTTTAGGAAATATTAATCTGATATAAAAGACATTTTAATAAATAGGTTGCCAGAATTTTATAATACTGTTTCAAAATATTGAGTCAGGGAAAAGGAATTTTAATGGTTATGGGGGAAAATAGAAAGACATGCTCAGAACATCTTCATAACTGCCCTCCAGCTTGGCTGTTGCTATTTTCATACCTAAGTTCCATGGAGGACAGATATCTTGTACTTTGTGCCCATGCTTTCTGTAACCTTACCCACCCTCAGAGATTTTGTTTCTGTTTGCCTGGTTTTGACTTCCTAAAACATTTTACTATTTTCAGGAAATTTTCTGCACTCAAATAATTGTTTTGGACTAAATTCCCATTTCACTACCTCCAGTGTGCTTAAAATGCGTAAGATGAGGAAAAGAAAAGGCATTCATTAAGCAGGGTTTACATTTGGAGGTCAGTATGTGAAGCAAAAATTGAGCCAAAATTACTCTTAAATTTTCTTAAATACCACATGAAGTTCAATATACCACTGTCTTTCACCAATCCAGCATGGCCAGATTTTCCTCCAGAGCTGGA